AATTCTTTTCAAGTAATAGATGAGAATAAAAATTCTCAATCTACTTGAATTTGAATCTAAACTTGTAAAATAAGATGGTGAATCAATTAATCCAATGTGTTAGTTCGGAGTTTAGATAATACTTGGAAAAAAGAAGTTGAAAATATGGCCACATGTCGGACATTGCACGGAAGGTGTCAGGGGATTTCTAAAATTCCAGCCCTTAACTTCACATTTTTTGTTCATTAAAATATATATCAATTCTTTTGATTTTGCATTAAAATATCATAATGATCTGTGGATCCAGATCCAATGGGCACTCCAAATTTCTAAAAATTTAAGGTTAAATATTTTTTTAGTCCCTCTATTAAGAGAAAAAGCCCTTTTTATCTTTATACTTTAAAAAATCCCTTTTTAGTCCACAAAGTTTAAAATCCAACTTTTTTTTGGTCTATCCATTAAATTTTTATTGATCTATCACTTTAATTAACGGAATCACTTAATTATTTTTTATATAAATGATATTATAAATGATATGAAAATTATGTGAATAAAATTATAAGTCTATGTAAGCATTTCATCTAAATATTTTAGGTCACTTGTATAAATTAAAAATTTTACTTCTTAATTCATAAATTAAATGACTTTAAATAGCATTAACTTTAATTTCTTCATCTTCTTCTTTCTCCTCATCCTTATCTTGGTCCTCATCCTCATCTTAGACATTATCATGTCATCGTTTATCTTCACCATCCTACTTGCCATCCTCTTCACCATCTTGGGTCCCTCGCGGAACATAGTTGCTGGGTTTCACAAACCCAGGTTCTAGGTCACAGAACCCTCGTGTTGGGTTCATGGAACCTAGATTTGGGTTCCTCAAACCCAATTTTTAGGTTCCTCGTGAAACATAAGTTCTAGGTTCATTACAAAACTCAGATCATATTTGATATTTGGGTTTGAAATTGCAGGTGATAGATTCATGTCACTGTGTTCATGTTGTTATAAACTTCATAATTTAGTTCATCCATGATTTTGAGTCAACAGGAAGAAAGGATTGAAAATAAAAAATTTGGGAAAGAGTAAAGAGAAGGATTTGACTTGCAGAAGAGAAATTATGATTTACAATATTGATAAATCACTTTAATTAGTAATTAATTTTTATTTTTATCAATAAAAATATTCCTATAAACTCTCAATTATTGATGTTTGCAATTGCAATAAGATACCCAAATGATCGGTGATCTGTTGGCTTCGAAGAAGAAGATTTGCAGATAGTTTAGAGAATAATTTTTCATTCAATTCATTTAAAAAATTATTTAATATTGCCACATCACTAAAAAAATTATTTAATAGTGCCACAAATATTTTTTCATTTACACCTCATTTTATCTAATATGTAAAAACGAAAAAACACAATTAGTTAATGGATATTGTGCCATGTCAACATTTAACTAACAAAAGGACCAAAAAAGGGTCGGATTTTAAACTTTAGGGATTAAAAAAGAGCTCTTTTAAGTATAAGGATTAAAAATGAATTTTTTTCATAGTAGAGGGACCCAAAAAGGTATTTAACCAAAATTTAATGGCATCCACTGTAACTCTTTTAATCTGAATAAATTCTTAGGTTGTTGAAGAAGAAAATGTTTTCCCTTTTTTTTTTTTTCTTCTTTTTTGGTTTCTTCATGTGGGCCTGATGAGCAGTGAGGAATGGTGGTTAACTATAAGATCTGCCACACATTCATGAAGATGCTGGTTTTTCCCTTGAGCATTTGGGTGGGAATAGGAAGATGTAGTTTTCAATCCCACTCTTTTAACTTTATTCCACCTGTTTCTTTTACTTTTGGAAATAAATTTTTTTTTCCACTTTAAGAAAATAGAAAACAATTATGACAAAGATAAATGAAGAAAAAATGAAGATAAAAAGGAGTGCATAAAACATCAAACATAAACGTTTTTTGAGAGCGCTTGGTTATTATGGTTGTAGTTATAGGTTTTTTTTTTTTTTAATGTTTCAATGTTTAAAAATATATATTTAATATTTAATATTTATTTTAATTAATATTTAAAAAAATAATAAATGACAGAAAAATTAAGCTATAGCATCACACATTGTTCCCAAAAATGAAGCTATAGTTTTTCGACAGAGACAAAAGCATGGTTTGTATTCATATAAATATTATTATTATTATTTTTATTATTATTAAAAATGGTTTAGCTAAAAATGTTTTGCCCTATAATATTTCATACAATGTGACGTAAATTTTCACATGATTTTCTAGTTATGTTACTTCGGTTAATTTAAAAAAACTTAAATTCTTATGTAATTTATTTATTTTTTTCAATAAAATACATAATTTAGCATATATTCACATATATAATATCATATAAATTTTTAATGTACTTTTTAAAAAAAAAAAGCCTTAACTAAAGCGACATAAAAAGCTACAGGTACTCTATGGTACATTAATATTAACTGCACAAACATTATAAGAACCAATCCTCTAGACCGATGTCCATTGCCTATTTAAAAAAAAAAAAAAAAATCCTCTGGACCGATGTAATCCACCTACATTTTATTGAATCGGTATTATCCTAAAAAAAATTCACTACCTTTTTTAATAGGGAAAAAAGAAGAAGAAGAAGAAGAAGAATGAAAGAATAAGGTTATTCTTGAACATTTCATGGATACATATATCATAATTAATTGCTTGCACCAAGAGCGAGAAGGATTAGAATTTATATGCTTTAGACGACAAAAACAATAGTATTATTCAAAAAAAAAAAAAAAACAGTAGTATTATTCAAGTAAATTTATACACCTCGAACTAGGGATTTTCGTAGAATCCATTTTTGGGCTCTCTGTGTAGTAATCTTTATTTGCAGTTTCTTTCTAAAAAAAAAAAAGAAAAAAAAGGTAGGTCAACGTTCAAAGTAAACAACTAACTAGTAACTAGTCGTTGAGAATGGATTTAAAATGAATTTTGCAATAGGTTAGATGAATAATAGAGACTAGGGTGGGAGAATTAAGAGGGTTGAATTGGGCATAATAATAAATGACATAACAGCAAGGCTTGAGCTGCATTTTCAATTAAAATTTTCCCAAGAAAATTTGTTTATAGTTGGCAAACATGTGATTTAGGCAGCTTTTGCCTTCCAGAAAAAGCGCCCCCCCATATATCCCATATCCTTCCAAATACGTCCATCCATTTTAAGGCATAATCCAACCCCTCTTTCTCCTTGCCAAACTAAAAAACTCTAATTACCTATTTACAGAATCCTAACAAAATTGATCTAACTGTAAGTTACTGCATTTCCTATATTGCTTATCAAGGTGTAATTAACTTTTCAATTATAAGAATTATGATATGATTTGATTCATTTACAAAAATCTCTTATTTTAACCCAATACATTGGAATCAAATAGTTACTAACTTGCCTTTTAAATGAGAACATCTCGGGTTTGAGTTTTAATTCCTTGGAATGATACATTTCCCCCTCATGCTTAAAATATGCTTAAAATATTAGGACTATTTATAATTTGTTAAAAAAAATCTCTTATTTAAAAAAATATTTTTTTAATAAATATGTTACATCAAATGAGTAATTATAAATCAAATCACATATTTCAACGAGTAGAAAGAGGAAAAAAAGTAGTATGATATAGAAATAATTCTTTTATATAAATTTTTTATATAAATTTTATATGTTATTAAATAAATAAATATATTTAATATTATAGATATTAAATAAATAAAAAAATGAATCATTTAAATAATATGTAAAATTATAAAAAAAATAAATATAAAAAATTATTTTTAAATCATTTAAAACAAATTAATCATGCATTTATGACGAATAATCACTACAAAAGAGTGAATATCTAAATAATTGATAGATAGGGAGTCCTTTAATACTAAATGCTCATCCCGTTATTAATAATTAAAAGTACTATAGCACGCCCAGCATTCTGTAAAAATGATTTATAGTCACAGAGTAGAAATAAATTTTGGTAAAGATGATGAAAATTTCCACTTAAGGGTTATTTTGGTAAAGATGATCCAAAAGAGGATAGAAAGAATTTTTGGTTTTTTTTACCCTTAAAAGAAAGAGGGGGAAATTAGCAAGTGGAAGAACGGATACGTGAAAAGGAAGATGACACACGTTGATTCATGATGTTGCAGAGAGGTGGGAGTGCCTGTGCTTCTGCTTCTGGGTGGAGTTTGCGTGCGGAACCATCTAGCGTCTTACCCTTTTTTGCAACTCCTTTGCTTCTTACCTTATCTCTGCTTTAAACAATCTTACAAATTAAATACATCAGAGTTCCCCAGTGAATCAATCCATTTCTCGACCTGTGTGTGCAAATATACTCTTTTTTGGATGTCTAATTGTGGGTATTGATTCTTCCAGCGTTGTGGGTGTTATTTGTTTACTTCACTGTAATCTTGGACTGAGCTCTGTTCTGTTTCTTGACTCACCGGAAGACATTGGAATTTGCAAGATTCTTGGTTTATAATGGAATGCAGCTGTTTTCTGTGAAGGTCTGACTCTGATATTCTGCTTCGAATTGTTTTTACTTGTTGTTTTTGTAAAATTTGAGATTGGTTTTGCAGATTTGAGAGAGCATTGATAAAAGATGAATAGCAGCAGAGTCAGGACTGTGAAAGCTCAGGGGAAGCATGAAAAAGTAAATCAGTAATCACAATTTCCGAAACTCAATCGGAGTCTAAACTGGGTCCCGTTTCATGTTTGGTTTTATTTATATTACTTTTAAGATTTTGAAAAACGGTTTCTACTGTAGACTGTAATGTTAATTATGGCTTAAGATGGGAAAATTGGTTTTCACCGGAAAAAAAAAGTACGGCTCCGATTTCGATGAAGAGGCTCCTCAGGCTCCGGGAGCTGGTGTTTTTTTAGAATCCGAGATGGGTTTCAGTTTAAATCTCCGATCTTTGTTGAATTTCTATTGAATTTCAAACCGGGATTGGAAATCCTCTGTTTCACAAAAAAAAAAAGAAAAAAACACTTTAAGAAATTATTCTTCTTTTGTGATTTGAATTTTTCATTTACTTAACTCTGTCTCTTTGAATTTGAAGGGGAAGGCAGAAATGCAGGGGAGTAAAGCAATGGTTGCAGCGAAAACAATCAAAGAACGACGAGCTGCGAGCAAAGAGAGAAAAATGGCTTTGCAACAAGATGTATGGACGTTTTTCCCTTCTAATTAACCATAACAGTTTTGGAGTTTGATTTTCATGTATTGTAATTGCGTTTGGGGTTGGAATTGGGCAGGTTGATAAACTGAAGAAGAAGCTTAGACATGAAGAGAACATCCACAGAGCCCTGGAGAGAGCTTTTACCAGACCTTTGGGAGCCCTTCCTCGTCTTCCTCCCTATCTTCCTGCTTCTGTCAGTAATTCACCATACGCTTAAATTTTCTGCTTTGATTTTTTGTTTTAATTCTCTAATTTTAATAATGTCAAAAGAAAGATAAAAGGGTTTGAAGGAGAAGCAGAGGAATTGACTTTAATGGTGATTTCTGGGGTTTGTAGACGCTGGAGCTTCTAGCAGAAGTGGCAGTGTTGGAAGAAGAGGTTGTTCGTCTTGAAGAACAGGTTGTGCACTTTAGGCAGGACTTGTATCAGGAAGCTGTGTACATTTCTTCATCAAAGAGGAAGGCGGAGAATTCTGCTGATGCGGGTGATCCTTGTCCTGAAAAGAGCCCCAAACCAGAGCAATCTAAGTCTTTAGCTCGAAATGTGTCCATGACAAGGCATTTGCGACGTCTCTCTGCTGGTAAGTGTGTTTCTTTCAATAATCTTTTTGACTACATTTTGTTTGATGAAATGCACCAACTAAATTGGCGTTGAAATTTTCACCCTATCATTTGGTCATTGTAGATGATGGGGGAGAAAAAGAGAATCACACATGTACTAATTCTGCAAAGGGCAATAAGGGGTCCTTAGGGCATAAAGCTCAACCAATAAGAACTCCAGTGAAGAAGATGGACTCTAAAGCAGCAGAGAAGCGTTGTGATCCTCAAAAATCACAGGTATGAATAACCAATGCCATTCCAACCACGTTAAGTTGGATTTAGTTGCTGTGAAATGAATGTCTTCTTTTACATGTGCAGACAGAATGTCGACCAAGAGACCAGGATAATGCAGATGCAAGGATTCTTGGCACTCCAGATGAGCAACTCATAGGCAGTGATGGCCCAAACAAAGTTTCTGAGGATATTGTAAAATGCTTGTCAAGCATTTTCTTAAGAATGAGCTCAACAAAATGCAGGACAAGTGCAGAAAGTTTTCCAGCTCTATCAATGCTAGGATCTCAAGAAAAGAGTGAAAATATGCAGTTTTTTGATCCTTATAGCATTTGTTCAGAATTTGGAAAAATGCATATTGGTCCATATAAACGTTTAATTGCCATTGATGGTGGTTCAATCAATCCAAATAGAACATCTAATTCATTATTTCTGCTGCGCAGGTTGAAGTAAGGCATCTTAATTCCTTTTATTTCTAAACTTTTTTCAAAGGCATTTCAGTATCAGTCAGAATTACTGAAGAATTATGGTTGTTCAATATTTTTAATTTTCAGACTTCTCCTTGGAAGACTTGCCTCCGTAAACTTGAAGAACCTCACCCATCAGGAGAAGCTTGCATTTTGGATAAACATATATAATTCCTGCATGATGAATGTAAGTGAGGAACCTTTCTTTCTGTAGCTCATCTTCTATGCACTAGATGGACTCATTCAATATTTTCTTGATCCAGGCATTCTTAGAACATGGAGTACCAGAGAGTCCTGAGATGGTTGTTGCATTAATGCGAAAGGTAGGTGTTGCCCTTTAACCTGGGCTTCTGTCAGAAATCAGAATGGTTGCAATTTCTGATGGTACCAGTCTGGCCTTATCTTCCTTACATCAGATACCGCTAATTTTTCTTCTGAAAGTCAAGTTGCTTGCTGGTCACTTTTAGTAAATTATGACAAATGTAAAATAGTCAGTAGTTTAATAAGCTCAATTTTGTATGACCCAGGCAACCATAAATGTGGGAGGACACATGCTAAATGCAATCACCATTGAACATTTCATTCTCAGACTACCTTACCATTCAAAATATGTAAGTGGTGATCAGTTAGCTTGTTTAATACTTTGTTGCAAGTTATATATATATATTTTTTGATTAGTGATTCCTTCACATCTCTTATGTCTGTCTTGTTATCAGACATTTTCAAAGGGTGCCAAAAATGATGAAATGACAGCAAGGAGAGTATTTGGTTTGGAGTTATCTGAACCGTTGGTAACATTTGCCCTTTCCTGTGGAAGCTGGTCCTCCCCAGCTGTAAGTCGAATTCTTGAATTGGTTCCTAATGCTTTTTCTTCCTCTTTTATTGTCCCTATTTTCTACTTTTTGGGAAGATTCTGAAATGAGTGAATGACAATGTATTCCATTGTCGGTCCCATAGATGTTACCTCAGCACAATAGAATTCCATGTTGTTCTTATCTTCCATCAAGTTTTAGGCCTACATCCCTTAGACCCCTGTCTTGGAATATTATTACTCATTTCTAACTTGTCCAATGAAGGTGAGGGTGTACACTGCTTCTCAAGTAGAGAATGAATTGGAAACAGCGAAAAGAGAGTATCTGCAGGCTGCAGTAGGAATTTCATCAAGGAAGTTTGCCATCCCTAAGTTGCTAGACTGGTACTTACTTGACTTTGCAAAGGATTTGGATTCCCTGCTGGATTGGATTTGCCTTCAACTACCCAGTGAGCTAGGAAAAGAAGCAATTAAGTGCTTGGAGAGAGCAAAGAGTGAGTCCATTTCAAACTTTGTCCAAATTATGCCATATGAGTTCAGTTTTAGGTACCTTTTCTACACATGAATAGCATTAGCTTATTTAAGAATTTTATTGAAATGGTTTTAACTTCAAGGGCGTTCAAGTAACAATTTTGTACACAGCCACAGAGTAAATATCAAGTAGTGGAAGATTTGGTCATTGTTGGGTTTGGGCATGTAATTAACAAATACAATTGAGAAAGGTTACACGAAAATTTTTGATTTCTCGAGATTAATTCGACTATGGAAGCTGTCTAGCATTTTAGTTGAATTGTCCTTCTGAAGAAACCCCAATAGAAAGGAGAAAATGAAAGGTGGAGGTAAGAATAATGATAATCATACACCTTTCTTAGTCAGAGAAAGAAATAAATGTGTATTTGAACTTGGGGATAATGTCGCTTTCAATAGTGGATTATCAGAAGGTTGAGTGTAGTTTTGGTCCTTTTGGACAGCCAATTTGATGGATAAGGAAAGTAACAGATGCAAAATCATTAAAGAATATTAGGTGCTAAACAGTGACTCCTCACTACTGTAACTGCCAAGCAGTGGCGGAGCCACATGGAGATCAGGGGCGGTCGCCCCCCTGAGATTTGGAAAAAAAAAATTATACATAATTAATTTATTAATTATTATTATTAAAATTATAAATATTATATTTTTAATTGTTAAAATACATAAAATAAAATAAAAATCAATAATAATGGGTTATTTTAAGAGTTCAAATATAATCTATATAATCAATTATTTATTTTAACAATTTAACTACTTATTATTATTTAAAATCCACACATCTCAAGACCCACAACTGAATTTTGTAAATAAAAAAAAAAAACCAATTCTAGTGTCTTTTATGCGATTTCTTTAGTATCCAGCCTCACTGTTCCGGTGTCAATCTCCTTCAACTAATCAACTTCAAAAAACTTATTAAAAAGAAAAAAAAGAGACTCCAACGGCGACTCGATGCAAGTCACTGCAATACTACTCTCTTCATTAAAAGCTTGAAAACAAATTAAGAAACCATCAAATGAACTACTAACTTCTTGGTAAAGATTAAAAACAATACTATCTCTTTTCATATGAATCATATATTGTTATATTGGGTTTCAACTTTAAAGTTTTGTAAGTTATTTTATTTTATTTTAAAATTTTGCTTTATACTTATTAGTTGATATATATTCTAACAAAAAAAATTAGTATACTCTCTCTATCCTAGAATAATTGATATATTTTATTCAGAATTTATCTCAGAATAATAGTCTTTTTTATTTTATTTTGAGGAAGGTAAATACTTTTTTTTTTCTACTTGAACCATATAATTATCTCTTAACTTTAATTATTTATTTTCTAATGGAAGTAGATATTTATTTTTAGTTATTTTTTAAGTATAAAATAAGTAAAGATAAAAATTATTTTCAAATCTTTCATTTGAAGATAAAACAAAAAAAATCTATTATTCTAGTATAGAGGGAGTAATATTTAAGTAATGAAACTTATTGATTTTTTATTATTACAAAAAAATTGTATAATTTCCTTTTAAGATTTAGAGTTGTTGAAATTACAAATAAAATTGAATATTATGGTAATATTAAAGTTATATTGAAGTTACGTGAAATAGAATTGGATCAAAGTAAAAAAATTGAAAAAAAAAGGTACAAATCCATAAAGGGAACATATATGAATTCAATAAAAAGAAAAACCTTGGATATAGTTGTATAGAGAAAAGAAATAGGAACATAAATTAATATAAAAAAAAATAAACTTGTATAAAGTATAATTAACTTGTAAAAAAAGAAAAAAAAATATTTGCTTGTAGAAAGTCGTAGGGTAAAGAGATAGGATATTACCATATTTTTAAACTATGTTAATGGCTTGTGAAGATAAGAAAATTAGAGGTCCATAGTCTCATTTACAAGTTAATTACTTTGATGCTTACTCTTCCAATTTCTATAGCAATAACAAAAAAAGTATTTTCTATCATGAAAATTATGAAAACGAGACTTCACCACAAAATGGAGAATGAATCTCTTTCAAATTCTTTGATTGTTTATATTGAAAAGGAAATAATTTAGTCATTTAATATAGACAATATTATAAATAAATTTTATGATATGAAAATTTATCAAGTATTATTTTAATATATGATATAAAAATAAGTTTTTAAAATTACATTATATTATTTTAAGATTTGAAAAACCACCTTGACTAAAATTCCTCTATCCGCCCCTACTGCCGGGCATGCCAATGAACTTTTTATCTATTAATGATCCTGATATAGAGAGGAATAGGGTTGGATTGGGAACTGAATTTAAGAATTTAAGAATTTAAAACATTGAAAGAAAGCTGCTGATATCTGAATCATCCTCCCTTCCTCCTCCTAGCCGTGGTCCAACAGCAGCAGTTCATTCTTTTCCCCTATGGCACAAGGTATCTAATCAATGAAATGCAGCTTTTGGTGCCAGTGCCACTCTTCTAACATTGAAGACCAATACCAAACATTGTGTCATATCAACTACAAATTGAATGCTTCTTCTGTTTGGCTTAGTGCCCATTTAGTGTTGGTTTTAAATGAGCTTACAAAAATTGAAGTTAGACTCAAATATAATTTTCTTGCTTTTTGGGAAGCTCCCATCCACCGGACAATTAGAACCTAAAACTTTGTAATATCTCTTGAGTCTTGACAAGTCCTTTCATCACTAGTTCAAGATTTCACTATCGGAACTCAATCTCATAAAGAGATCTAATAAATAACCTAATATTGAGTGGAATCCAGACTTTATCCAATGCTGAAGGAAGATTTATTAAAGTAGGATGAGGGGTCCCAAATACAGCAAAAAATTTGTCCTTCTTTATGGAAGGACCAGACATTATGAAAGCCAATAACAAAAGCTTTTCCAAAAGTTGATGGACCCTTAGCAGGTACTCGTGGTGTATCAGCCTACCAAACAGCTATTGATATTACCCACACTGTCTTCCGTGACAGATATGATTTGGCCCAGCCCATGCCCTAATCAATATCTAGGGATGGTACAAATTCAACATTTTCCTCTGTTTTTATTTTATTAATTTTTAATATCTAAAAATTATATTAAATCTTAATTAATTTTAAAATCAAGTCACGATTAAATCTCATTAAAAAAACTCTCACAATATTTATTTCTCGCATTCATGTACCAAATAAGTACAAACCAACGTTTTTTTTTTTTATTTTATTAATTTTTAATATCTAAAAATTATATTAAATTTTAATTAATTTTAAAATCAAGTCACGATTAAACCTCATTAAAAAAACCTCTCACAATATTTATTTCTCGCATTACAAGATTTGAATTCAAAATTTCATTTGAAAACTGAGTTTTTTTTTTTTTTTTTTTTGAACATTTTTGTCATGGGGCCGGTTCAAACCGTTGCCCTGGAAGAAGGAAGTATGAACCTTACAAACGTGACTAGAGCCACTTAACCCGAAAGATCAGGTTCGAGTTGCTTCCCATTTAGAATAATAGATGGTTGGTATTTTTATTTTTCCCTCTGCTGCTGAATGTATACAAACGCTACCTGATAAAAATAAATTTGGGAAAAATGTTTTTGTCGTTTTGGGCTTAGTCCAAGGCCTATGATTTGAGTGGATTTCCTGTCTTGCCCCTGATAGACGTACCTTTCAAATTTCAATTCGCAGGTCCCAGCATGACGGATACCCAATTACCCATAGAACTTCAGGGCTTTCCCTAAAGGTTCCTGGGACATTGGGCCTCATATGAAGCTGGGAATCAGTAAGACAAGTGGGGAATTTTTTGGGCTCTTTGGACCAAATAAAAGTTTTTATTTTTTAGACCAAACTTCAAGTTTTCATGGGCAGAAATAACTTTGATCAAACCCTAAAATCAAAAGGAAAAAGCT